TCATAATTTTTTAAAACTACAACCTACTTTTATTTAAGTTAAAGGAAATTCAATCAATTCCGAATCAACTACACTTCTGCCCTTAAAATATTTCTTATATAATCAGACCTCTATGGGTTAATTCTTATTAGGTTTAGTAGCTCTACAATAACAAAAAATAAAATTTATTTTCACTATTCAAACAGAAAAAAAACGTATGCAACATTATTTTGCAAAGAGTATTTTCATCAAGAGAGCAAACACGGAGAGAAAACGAACAATGTAAACAAAATAAGAAATATGGAGTAAATATAAACATGTTGCTAGAGTGTTCAAAAATAACATGTTGCTGGAAAATGTTTACTAAACAAAAAGTGTATAAGAATGTTGTAAAGAAAATTATAATGATTTATTATTCAAAATTTTATAAACGCTTAATAATTTATATGTCAAAATCATTCAATTTGATTGATTATTAAACTTGGTTTAGTTTTATTATTGTTATATATATGTTGTTGCTGTGAAAAGATTAGAGTTTAAGTACAATGTTTATAAAGTTTATAGAAGAGTAAGATCTTGAAATTCTTGAAATCGAATTTATCATAGTAAAGCGAAAACAAAAATATTTTGCGACAAAATGTTTATAGAACACAAACGAGTAAAAATTAGCAGACTACATAACACTCTATAGACTTCTCCATATATGGAACTCTAGACTGACTTATAGGTGGTACTAAAGTCTACTCTATAAACGAGACTATGGACTAGAAGATACTATAAAGTACTCTTAAATTAGACTAGTTTACAGACTAGACTATAGACTAGACTATACACTAGACTATAGACTAGACTATAGACTAGACTATAGACTAGACTATAGACTAGACTATAGACTAGACTATAGACTAGACTATAGACTAGACTATAGACTAGACTATAGACTAGACTATAGACTAGACTATAGACTAAACTATAGACTAGACTATAGACTAGACTATAGACTATACTATAGACTAGACTATAGACTAGACTATAGACTAGACTATAGACTAGACTATAGACTATAGACTAGACTATAGACTAGACTATAGACTAGACTATAGACTAGACTATAGACTAGACTATAGACTAGACTATAGACTAGACTATAGACTAGACTATAGACTAGACTATAGACTAGACTATAGACTAGACTATAGACTAGACTATAGACTAGACTATAGACTAGACTATAGACTAGACTATAGACTAGACTATAGACTAGACTATAAACTAGACTAGACTATAGACTAACTAGAGACTAGACTATAGACTAGACTATAGACTAGACTATAGACTAGACTATAGACTAGACTATAGACTAGACTATAGACTAGACTATAGACCTAGACTATAGACTAGACTATAGACTAGACTATAGACTAGACTATAGACTAGACTATAGACTAGACTATAGACTAGACTATAAACTAGACTATAGACTATAGACTAGACTATAGACTATAGACTAGACTATAGACTAGACTATAGACTAGACTAGACTAGACTATAGACTAGACTATAGACTAGACTATAGACTAGACTATAGACTAGACTATAGACTAGACTATAGACTAGACTATAGACTAGACTATAGACTAGACTATAGACTAGACTATAGACTAGACTATAGACTAGACTATAGACTAGACTATAGACTAGACTATAGACTAGACTATAGACTAGACTATAGACTAGACTATAGACTAGACTATAGACTAGACTATAGACTAGACTATAGACTAGACTATAGACTAGACTATAGACTAGACTATAGACTAGACTATAGACTAAACTATAGACTAGACTATAGACTAGACTAGACTAGACTATAGACTAGACTATAGACTAGACTATAGACTATAGACTAGACTAGACTAGACTATAGACTAGACTATAGACTAGACTATAGACTAGACTAATTATAGATTAGACTATAGACTAGACTAGAGACTAGGCTATAGACTAGACTAGACTATTTACTAGATAATATACTGAAATATAGACTAGATTATATGTTAAACTATAGACATGACTACATACTAAACTACTGAATTTTCTCTTTCGCAGTATTGGCATAGATTTTAGATAAAATTTGGTCGTGATTAGTGATCGCTCACTCTATTCTAATGTATAAAAGAATGTTCTTCTGTTTTAGGGTTTTTAGTGTTAACAAGAAAAAAACATCTTTACTTTAATTTAAAATTTATAACCCTTTTAAAGATGTTTTGATAACCCAACTACCTTTATTCTTAATTTGAGTTTGATTAATAATTACTTTGAAATTCTTCTTTTGAAACCCCTTTTTTCTTTATATCTAAACATTTTGTTAACAAACCCTACTAAAACAATCTAAAGTGTCTAAATAATCATTAGGGTCGTACAAATAATGCGTTGCCCTTAAAGACAAACACCTTTGTTTAGCCAAGGGAATCATTTTTATTTAAATATCAGGCATTATTTGCTAACACTTGTGTGTGATTATTCAAATTTTGATTATAAAATTTATCAAATTTCCCAAGAACAAACACAAACAGATCAGATGTTTGAAATGTCTTTTCATGTTTTTTTGTTAAAAGAAAAACATTTTACGCCTCATAGCCAAACAAAGAACAGAAAAGAGGGAAATAATGAAAGTGCTATCTGTCTGTTCGATCCATTCATCCGTCTGTCACTCCTCTTTGCACCAGGTAGTAGTTTTTCTTAATTATCAGTTCTTCATGATCGTGTTTGAGTTTGTTTCTTAAATTAACATATTGTTGTTGTTTTGTGGCAAGTAGCTAGTAGTAGTTGTTGTATTTATTACAATTTAGAAGGTCGTTTTAGTATTTCAATATTTTTCTTTTGTTTAAAAAAAAAACTTTATATATTCATTTAGTAGTTATTATTATCTTTATATTTCAAACACTTTTCCGTGTAAAAACAAACAATAAATGTTTAAGAACAAAAAACAAACTATCCGTAATCTAAGTATCTGTCGAATGTGTATCTTTTTGTAAAGCTGCTGCTTTACTGCTGACTTCCAGCAAGTGTAACTTAATACTTTAAATGTTCATTAATGCGTTTTACTATTTAAATTTTATTTTAGTTGTAACACACCTCTGAGTCCATAGAAACTTTGTGTCTCACCTCCTCTACCCAGAGACCACATTTCGTGGTTGCGGTTGCTTAGTTTTTAACTGATCTACACTACGTTGTTGCAGTAATGAATGAATGAATGTTTTCTGTTATAGCGATCTTTTGGTTAGATTTTTTCAGTTTCTGTGTATAAGTACGTACATATCTCCATGTATCTTAATGTATCTTTATGTTTCTCTTGTTTTTTTTCTTCCTCGATTACTTTGAAGATATGAAACGCATTAGTTTTTTTTTTGTGCATTGTTTAAAGTTGGTTTTAGATTTTGATACGTCATGCTGATAAAGACGTGTTAAAATAGAAGAAATATCTTTAAAACAAAAATTATAAAATGTATAAAAAACAGATCTATTGTTAGGAGATCACGCTGGGAGTTGGTAAGATGAATGTAAGAATCAATAGATACATTATTTGACAGATCGATAATCAAACTAATTGTTGAGAGCATCTTAAAAAGATCACGCACTGAATTTGTAAAAAGAAAACAATGATACCTTTAAAGAATTTATTAGACAGTTGGGCGTTCGAAGAGAAAACTAGATTTATGTAGAAATATCGATTTTTAAAAAGTGGAAGTGATTAGAAATTGTTACTGTTTTCTCTCAAAAAGGTAAAATTAATTTCTTATCATAGAAATAAAGCATAGACTATAATAGACTAGACTTTAGGCTAGACTATATACTAATCTATAGTGTATTCTATAGTCTAGTCTATAGTCTAGTCCATAATCTAGTCTATGGTCTAGTCTTAGTCTATTATATAGTCTATTCTATAGTCTAGTCTATAGTGTAGTCTATAGTATATGCTATAGTCGAGTCTATAGTCTATTCTATAGTCTAGTCAAGTCTATATACTAGTCTGGTTGCTAGTATATTCTAGTCTATAGTTTAGTGTATACTGCAATCTATAGCCTAATCAGAAATCACTTTTTAAAAGATTTAGAAAATCTTACATATTAAAAAATAACTTACCTTTGCTAAGATGACAAATCAAAATTCATTCATTCTCTTCTTTTTTATCAATTAATTAAACATAATTTTTTTCAAAACAGGCCATATTATTATTTCCTAACATTTTAGTTAAGAAATTTACTTATTCTTTCATTTTTTTCTTTGCTTTTATTATTTTTCTATCATTTTTATTCTTTATTTTCATTTCCATTAAATTTTAAACTTTCCCTTTAAATTCTAACGGTCGCACAATTTTAACCACTTTACAACACTATTATTAAACGCACGCATTTTATTTGTCAACACTTAAAAGCAAAAAAGTCACAAAAACAAACATAAACAAACGAACCGATTGGCAGAGAAAAATTTGCAAACTTGATGCCGCTTGTTCTTTTTACACAAATAAAACTTTAAAAAACATATTTCACAAAAAACTAACATTATATTTCGAAAATTTGCATATTTATTTATAACGGGACACACTTTTTATAATTCTCGAAGACATTTTAATATTATTTTCTTAAAAAACAAAATTACACTACACGGAGCAACAACCGATTGTAAAAAATAAAAACCGCGAACTGTCAGCTGTTACAAAAACAGAGTGGGTTAAGTGTGAGAGTGCACTATAACAGAGTTGTTTAAGTGGAATATGAAAAATAAACACAGCAAGGTGAAAGAAACGGAAATAGAGCAATGATTTGAATTATTTTGTAACGGAAACGTAAAAAGTTTGAAAAAGAAATGTATTTAGCGCTAAACAGTTTGAATTTTTGAATTTTTTTTTAATATAATTGTGTTTGAATTATGATTCTCTGAGAATTTAATAAGAAAACTGAAAATTGATTAAATTTTTGCAATTTTTTATACATTTTAAAAAACATTGTTATTTCAATGGTAAAAATTTCTTTATTTTTTATTAAAAATTTAAAATAATACAACTTTGTATAACAAACAAAACCCCAGTTTATAAAACAAACACAAAATTAACAAAGAAAAATAAATAAATTATTAAGAAAATTATTTTAAAATAAATTTACAACTAAATTAAATTTCAAAAAGCCATTTAAATTACCTAAAATGCAAAAAAGTACAAATTCTTTAAAAATTGGAAACATATGTAAATAAATAAAAGTAGTAATTTTGAAATGCATTGGCATCACTTTAAACTTTTGACATAAAGCAGAGATGCCAATTTTGCATTTTTACTTAAGTAACTTTTTTCTAAAATGAAAATTTTTAAACTATAAATATCAAATAATAACACATTTTTAAATTAATTTCAAGATCCCGGAATATTAGATCCCCTAAAATTTAAAGTTTTGCCTTAATAGTCGTGTTAGTTTTCCCCAAATTCTCTTCTATACTCTTTACCCCTTGAGGCTGTTCTTCCAAGGGCAGCAGATTCCCAGTAGCAAATATATTTTTAGGATCCAATTGTTGTTTAGTGGCTTTATAGAGATTTGCTCCCGTTTGTGTTATAGTTTTCGTATACCATTGTGAACGTATTTTACCCACACCATGATGATGTGAGAGTGAACCACCACAGGCCAATATCTCGTCTCTGGCACCATTTTCTATGTGTTCGAATAGTTCGACAGGATTGGAGAAACCCTTATAGTTAAATGCAAAATAGAAATAAACACAGGCACCGGCATCATAGGTTTGGGTGACGCGGCAGGAAATGGAGAAGTGGTGAATGCTTTTGGCATGACATTCCTGGAAAAGAAATTCGTAAAAATTTTATCATATTGCTTTTATCACGACTAGACCAAAGTCCGGAATATAGACAAAACTATAGCCTGCACTACTTCTTAAGATATTCTTTAATTCTCAATAATTTTTCTTACCAATTCTATGCGCTTTTTAACATTTTCACATAAACTGTAGCAACGATCCCAGGGCACTGAAGTCTCAAATGATTCAGCTACTATATCGTACAGCAAAGCCAAATCCTGAAACAGAATATAACCAGTGTTAGAAAAACTACGTTGCTACCAAGTATTATATTATTGCTCTAACTACTGCTCCAAACAATTGTCTGAAGTTGTAGCAGTAGCATTTGTTTTGTTTTATAATCATACGTTTCTAAAACTTTTGCTACTTATAAAAAAGTAAATCTCAAAATATAGCAGTAGTAATAAAACAGTAGCAGTAGAAATAGTTCTAAATAAAACATAAACTACAAATGGAGTAGTAGCTTAAAAAAAGAAATAATTTTATTGCTACTTTTGATAAGTAGCAATAGAAATATTTTCTACAAGTTGATCGTTCTATTGCTACCAAATTATTGAAGTAGCAATAGAATAAAACAAAAAACTTCGACAAAAAAAATAAACTAACAAATAAACATATCCCAACGGGAAAAAGATTCAGTATAGGGGCCTTACTAAGGGCATTTTTCTATAGACACAAGTACATTCAGCCGCATTGCAAAATCGTTTCAATTTTACATGCTTACTTAAAAAGGCCTGTAGATGGTCTTCCGTTAAAGGCTTTTTAGAAGATTTTCAGTCGAAGGATTTGTAAAATGGCCTTATAAGAAATTACATAATTAATTATACAATAGAATTTATAAAATTGTATAAAGTAAATTTTCATACAAAATTTGATACATAATCCTTTGATAAATGTGCATGAATCCTTTTAGTAGAGGAAACAAAGTCCTCCTAGAATATCTTTTGCGAAAAGGCAATGAGAAACCTTTATAATATGTAAATATGTCTTAGAAGGCCCACGAATCGAAGTCCTAGCATTTTTCCCCGCTGATTGTGCCTTTTTTCTGAATGTCGTAATTTTTTTTTTTTCGTATTTTAATAAAATTTTTATTTTTTATGCTACCAGAATTTAGGTAGCATTGCTACCAAAATTTTGGTAGCATTGCTACTTTATTTAGGTAGCAGTTGCTACCAAATTTTTGATTGTTGAAAAATATAATATCGTTTATTGCTACTTCAGGAAAATATTTACTGCTACTATTTGAAGTATTCAACTGCTACATTGAAACATTTATATACCAATGACTTTACTACTGCTATCAAACTTTTTATTTTTTTGCTACATTTATAACTACTGCTACCAAAATCTAAAGGTAGCAGTAGTAATAGTAAATGATTTGCTGCTAGTTTTTGAACATTTTCTAACTACAAAAGTAGTTATTTTTCGTTACTACAGCTACTTGTAGTCTAGTTTTTTAAACACTGAATATAACAAATTACTCTCTATATATATACAACTCTCTCTCTCTCTCTCGGTTTACTTACCCTCATATAAGCTATAACAAAAGTCATTATATAACCTCTTTCACCATTTTGACCACCACCGGAAAATCCTTTATGCTTTTTCGCAATATTGATAATCAAGGACTCTTGCCTATCTACATCGTCGGCTTCTCCCTCGAATAGTAATGTGGCGGCACAAATTTTGGTCAGATCCAAACATTTTACCATCGTAAGATATTTCTTTTTGAATGCATCCTTTAAGTCCTCACGCCAACCTTTTACTGGTTTCAAACTTTGACCCATAATAAATTGATTGTTATCCATTAAACGTACCGAGGCGGGTTGACAACGACGTTCGGCCACTTCACGCATAAAGCCCACACCACTTTCGAAATCGGGGAATACCAAAGAGTTGTAGCGTTTAACGGGCGGTAAGGGTCTTACTTTTAAAACCACCTCAGTGATAACACCCAATGTACCCTCGGAACCCATAATGACATGATTAAAATCTGGACCACAAGAAATACGAGGAGCCGTACATTCTCGATCCAACACTCCAGCAGGTGTCACCAATTTCACTCTTACCACTAGATCTTCTATGTTGCCATAAACATTTTTCTTCATGCCCGAAGCTCGTGTGGCCACCCAACCACCTAAAGTGGAGAATTCATAACTGTCCGGCTCATGGCCCACTGTAAGGCCTTCTTTACGCAATATATTTTCCAAATCCTGACCCGCTATACCAGCCTCAAAACATACTGTTAGATTTTTTCTATTCAACCACAACATACGATTCATTTGCGAGGTATCCAATATACAAATCATACGTTGCTCCTGTTGAGGACAAGTAGTAGCTCCCGATACCGAGGTACCACCACCATAGGGTAACACTACCACATTATGCTTATGAGCCAGGGCAACTAATTTCTCTACTTCCGAGTGATTATTGGGCCAGGTCACTACATCGGGTATTCTTTGAAATTTATTATGACTTAAATAGTAAATGTCGTGTAACGTCTGACCATGACATCTTACAAAACGATCTATACCCTCTTGACTATAGGAAATTTCGGTTTCATGTAGTTCTTGCAGAAAATCTGTATTAACGGTGGGTCTTGGATATTCTTGGGGTAGCATAGGTTTGGGTATATTGTCATAAACGGTGATGTTGAAAGTACTTAAAACCCAATCGGTGAAATAGGGTAAGGCAGCACCTTCCAGGGGATATCTGAAATGTGGTTAAAATTAATGAAAATCGGATAATGGACTAGTCTATAGATTAACTACGCTATAGACTATGCTATAGACTAGAATATGGACTATAGAGTAGACTTTAATCTGGACTATATAGTAGACTATATGTAGTATAGAGTAGACTATAATCTGGACTATAGTATAGATTATAGTCTGGACTATAGAGTAGACTTTAGTCTGGACTATAGAGTAGACTATAGTCTGGACTATAGGGTAGACTATAGTCTGGACTATAGGGTAGACTATAGTCTGGACTATAGGGTAGACTATAGTCTGGACTATAGGGTAGACTATAGTCTGGACTATAGGGTAGACTATAGTCTGGACTATAGAGTAGACTATAGTCTGGACTATAGAGTAGACTATAGTCTGGACTATAGAGTAGACTATAGTCTGGACTATAGAGTAGACTATAGTCTGGACTATAGAGTAGACTATAGTCTGGACTATAGAGTAGACTATAGTCTGGACTATAGAGTAGACTATAGTCTGGACTATAAAGTACACTATAGTCTTGACTATAGTCTCAAATTTAGAGTAGACTATAGTCTGGACTTTAGAGGAGACTATATTCTGTACTATAAAGTAGACTATAGTCTGGACTATAGAGTAGACTATAGTCTGGACTATAGAGTAGACTATAGTCTGGACTATAGAGTAGACTATAGTCTGGACTATAGAGTAGACTATAGTCTGGACTATAGAGTAGACTATAGTCTGGACTATAGAGTAGACTATAGTCTGGACTATAGAGTAGACTATAGACTAGCCTATAGTCTTGACTATAGAGTAGCCTATAGTCTGGACTATAGAGTAGCCTATAGTCTGGACTATAGAGTAGACTATAGTCTGGACTATAGAGTATACTGTAGTCTGGACTATAGGGTAGACTATAGTCTGGACTATAGAGTAGTCTATAGAATAGACTATAGTCTGGACTACAGAATTGACTATAGTGTGGACTTTGGAGTAGACTACAGTCTGGACTATAGATTAGACTATAGTCTGGACTATAGAATTAACTATAGTCTGGACTATAGAATTAACTATAGTGTGGACTATAGAGTAGACTATAGTCTGGACTATAGAGTCGATTATAGTCTGGACTATAGTGTAGACTATAGTCTGCAGTAAAGAGTAGATGTTTACACTTACCTATCGCCACGAAAATGTATGATATTATTTTTAACATAAAATTCGGAATCCTTATAACCCCAACCATACCACTTGAGAACGTCTTGCCTGTAAAAGAATTTGTTCGAAAAATGGGTCAATTTCAAAATTTTTTTTTTGCAAACACTTAAGTAAATAAAAACCACCCCTCCAGCCGAGAAATAATACAAAAAATACAAAAATGTGTATGTGTTAGCTCGTGCCTTTGAGGGGGTGTGTTCGTTATATGGTTTTATTACTGGTACTGGAAACAAACCTTCTTTTGGGGAACACACCATTAACATCCTTTGATAGACGTTCATCTAAAGTTATGGACGCCTTAAAGGCGCCTTGTGATTTCTGTTGTTTGTTTTCTTTGTTATTTATTACATTAATTGTTAAATCCTTTTCCGTTTTATTAATATAATTAATACATTTATTATTAGCAGCCATTATTTAAGTTTCTAGTGTTGTGATTTCTATTAAAGATTTTCCTTGTTATTTATCGATTTTTAGCCACACAACACTGGTTTTCTTCTTTTTTTATAAGGATTTATTAAAGGATTTTTCTTTTGGCATTTAGTTGTTAGTTTTGTAATTATTATAAAATTTTCTAGTTATTAAATTAATTATTAATAATTTATATAAGTTTTTTTATTTATTTATGTTTATTTTCTATTAGAATTGTATGTTTTTATTTAGATTTTATTGTAATTATAAATGTTTAGCTAAATTTTTGACAGCTTTCTTTAACAACTTGTCTATTCCAACTGCCAGACAATAAAATATCAAGGGGGTTTATTTCGGTCGAAATGTTCTATATAAAATAGCAACAACAACAACATGACACACTCGACAAAATCACTCATACGTTCACTCACTCAATGTAATGTAGTTCTCTGCATAGTGGAGGATACATAGAGCAGAAACCTCGCATAAAAAAGCTAATACATACAAAAACGTTTGATTTTGTTTTCAAATTCACAGTTTATTTACTAAACATTTGCAACACTTATTAGTTTTATGTCACTAGTCCTAAGAATCCTTGTCAGCAGAGTTACCCCTCTTGCTCTATAAATGTATTTCTGTTATTTAAGAGGGAGCAAATTCACCCAGAGAGAGTTTGAGTGGACTTTTATTTAAATCAAAAATTTGAGTTGTTTTATTACAATTTTTACTTTATTTTATTACAAAAATTTATTGTATTATATTTTTTATAAAATATACAAAATTTTATTGTTACTTAACCCCTTGCTTGTAAAATTTTATGTAAATTGTTTGATTTTTGCAGAGAATTTTGTTTTGGTTTTATTTTGCGCGCGCATTGTTTTTGCAAATGGATTTTTACATAAAATTTTTGCCGGTATGTGGTGCAATTTCTTGTTGTCTTCCCTCTTTCTTGTTTTCTTCTCTTCTTTTTTTTAAATTCGTGCACGTTTTAGCAAATATGTATTAAATGGATTACAATAAAAACCACAGACGAAAAGCAACAAAACGCTTCTTTTCAGACATTCGTTTTGAAAATGGAGGGGCGAATAATATTCAAAAACTAAGAACATTTAAGAGAACTGAACTAGAACTGAACTAGAACTGAACTAGAACTGAACTAGAACTGAACTAGAACTGAACTAGAACTGAACTAGAACTGAACTAGAACTGAACTAGAACTGAACTAGAACTGAATTAGAACTGAACTAGAACTGAACTAGAACTGAACTAGAACTGAACTGGAACTGAACTAGAACTGAACTAGAACTGAACTAGAACTGAACTAGAACTGAACTAGAACTGAACTAGAACTGAACTAGAACTGAACTAGAACTGAACTAGAACTGAACTAGAACTGAACTAGAACTGAACTAGAACTGAACTAGAACTGAACTAGAACTGAACTAGAACTGAACTAGAACTGAACTAGAACTGAACTAGAACTGAACTAGAACTGAACTAGAACTGAACTATAACTGAACTAGATTTGAACTAGAACTGAACTAGAACTGAACTAAAACTGAACTAGAACTGAACTAGAACTGAACTAGAACTGAATTAGAACTGAACTAGAACTGAACTAAAACTGAACTAGAACTGAACTAGAACTGAACTAGAACTGAACTAGAACTGAATTAGAACTAGAACTGAACTAGAACTGAACTAGAACTAACTGAACTGAACTAGAACTGAACTAGAACTGAACTAGAACTGAACTAGAACTGAACTAGAACTGAACTAGAACTGAACTGAACTAGAACTGAACTAAAACTGAACTAGAACTGAACTAGAACTGAACTGAACTAGAACTGAACTAGAACTGAACTAGAACTGAACTAGAACTGAACTAGAACTGAACTAGAACTGAACTAGAACTGAACTAGAACTGAACTAGAACTGAACTAGAACTGAACTAGAACTGAACTAGAACTGAACTATAACTGAACTAGATTTGAACTAGAACTGAACTAGAACTGAACTAAAACTGAACTAGAACTGAACTATAACTGAACTAGATTTGAACTAGAACTGAACTAAAACTGAACTAGAACTGAACTAGAACTGAATTAGAACTAGAACTGAACTAGAACTGAACTATAACTGAACTAGAACTGAACTAGAACTGAACTGAACTAGAACTGAACTAAAACTGAACTAGAACTGAACTAGAACTGAACTGAACTAGAACTGAACTAGAACTGAACTAGAACTGAACTAGAACTGAACTAGAACTGAACTAGAACTGAACTAGAACTGAACTAGAACTGAACTAGAACTGAACTAGAACTGAACTAGAACTGAACTACAACTGAACTAGAACTGAACTAGAACTGAACTAGAACTGAACTAGAACTGAACTAGAACTGAACTAGAACTGAACTAGAACTGAACTAGAACTGAACTAGAACTGAACTAGAACTGAATTAGAACTGAACTATATCTGAACTAGAAATGAAATAGAACTGAATTTTGTTTAATTGTCCTGATTTGATTAAACGTCCTTTTTTACTCCCCTTTTTTTTGAGGGTTAAAATCATACTTTTTTGTACCGTTATTACGAATTCATGAAAATGACAAATGTAAATGTTGGTGTGAGTATTGCTGTTTAAGAGTGTTAACTGGATTACGGTCATGTGTTAACAAGGATGGGAAATTGACATTTTTAAAAATAAAAAATTACTTTTTGTAAAAGCTTAACCTACTTCACTAAAGGGTTGAAGTTTAAATTTATAAAAACTATATAATTACATTATTTAAAGATTATGGTAAAACGTTTAGTAAATATTGAATAAATATAACAGTATTTTTTAACAAATTTCGCAATTTTTATTTAATTACTTTAACAAGTAATTAAAACAATCTAAAACAATAATAATATACATATGTATATGTATGTAGCTTTTTTTTATTATTTTTGTACTATAATGACAAATATTATGGGTAATAATTATTTTAGAGCTTGTAAAACTAAAATTTACTTAAATAATTATTAAACTTTAGAGTAACTTTCAAAACGTGCTGGATTAAAATTTTTATTTGCTTTTAAGATTAACACACAATTTAAAGAATTTAAACTAGAATGAAATAAAACAAAAGATTTTTAAAAATTATCCGAAAGAATTTGACCTTTTATTCCAGAAAGTACTTTTTCAATGATTCAAAATACTCAATTTCTCCAACTCTGCTTAAAACAGACAATGTGTCTAAAATGGTTTTAACACTCAAAAGGGGTGGGTTGGTTAGTTGAGTCAAACATGGGTTATAAAAATAAATAAAACAGGGTGGAAAAAACCCCCCAAAAAAACAATTGTTACAATTTTAAGACATAACACTCGAAATTACAAATAATTAATTGCAGCAGATAGAAATAACACTCAAAATTTCAAACCATTAAACACATGTGTTGAGAATTATAACTTTATGGGAATTTTAAAACATGTAGTCCATATTAATTATTAAAAAAATAACACACAAAAACGAAACAATTATAAGTTATAAATAATAGTTGGAATAAATAGATTTGAGGTTACGAAGAAAAAAAGGATAACTGTTAATTAAAACGCACTTGAAATTAAAAATAAAACACGCAATAATAAAAATATATATTTAGTAATTTGAAAATTTATTTATATATTTTTTTAATTATTTATGCTTTTTATTTAATTTGTCTTTTCCATTTTATTTTGTTTTAATTTCGTTTTCAAATTTCCGTTTTGAAAAATGACTGTTACTTTGACAACGCGTTAATTACTACTGCTGCATTGATTCAAAATTTGCCAACTGCATTCATCACTCATCTATTTGCAATTTTATTTGTCAATATTTTTTATTTATTATTTACATTTAGTTACATCTCTTTATAATATTATGCATTTAGTGAATTTTTTTGTAAATAAATAAATAAACTTCCTAGCAAATAAAATTAACCAAAATAAATAAAAAGCTCAATAAGGGTATAATTTTGAAAAACACTTTAAATCATTTGAAAAAATTTTCAAAACGAAATAGTTTTAGAAACTAGAAAAATAAGGAGAGACAAAGAAAAGTGTATAAATTTATGGAAAATATAAAATTTTTTTTAAAAAACTTAATAGAACTGAACTAGAACTGAACTATAACTAAACTAGAACTAAACTAGAACTGAACTAGAACTGAACTAGAACTGAACTAGAACTGAACTAGAACTGAAACTAGAACTGAACTAGAACTGAACTAGAACTGAACTAGAACTGACTAGAACTGAACTAGAACTGAACTAGAACTGAACTAGAACTGAACTAGAACTGAACTAGAACTGAACTAGAACTGAACTAGAACTGAACTAGAACTGAACTAGAACTGAACTAGAACTGAACTAGAACTGAACTAGAACTGAACTAGAACTGAACTAGAACTGAACTAGAACTGAACTAGAACTGAACTAGAACTAGAACTAGAACTAGAACTAGAACTGAACTAGAACTAGAACTAGAACTGAACTAGAACTGAACTAGAACTGAACTAGAACTGAACTAGAACTGAACTGAACTAGAACTGACAGAACTGAACTAGAACTGAACTAGAACTGAACTAGAACTGAACTAGAACTGAACTAGAACTGAACTAGAACTGAACTAGAACTGAACTAGAACTGAACTAGAACTGAACTAGAACTGAACTAGAACTGAACTAGAACTGAACTAGAACTGAACTAGAACTGAACTAGAACTGAACTAGAACTGAACTAGAACTGAACTAGAACTGAACTAGAACTGAACTAGAACTGAACTAGAACTGAACTAGAACTGAACTAGAACTGAACTAGAACTGAACTAGAACTGAACTAGAACTGAACTAGAACTGAACTAGAACTGAACTAGAACTGAACTAGAACTGAACTAGAACTGAACTAGAACTGAACTAGAACTGAACTAGAACTGAACTAGAACTGAACTAGAACTGAACTAGAACTGAACTAGAACTGAACTAGAACTGAACTAGAACTGAACTAGAACTGAACTAGAACTGAACTAGAACTGAACTAGAACTGAACTAGAACTGAACTAGAACTGAACTAGAACTGAACTAGAACTGAACTAGAACTGAACTAGAACTGAACTAGAACTGAACTAGAACTGAACTAGAACTGAACTAGAACTAGAACTGAACTAGAACTGAACTAGAACTAGAACTGAACTAGAACTGAATTAGAACTGAACTTGAACTGAACTTGAACTGAACTAGAACTGAACTAGAACTGAACTAGAACTGAACTAGAACTGAACTAGAACTGAACTAGAACTGAACTAGAACTGAACTAGAACTGAACTAGAACTGAACTAGAACTGAACTAGAACTGAACTAGAACTGAACTAGAACTGAACTAGAACTGAACTAGAACTGAACTAGAACTGAACTAGAACTGAACTAGAACTGAACTAGAACTGAACTAGAACTGAACTAGAACTGAACTAGAACTGAACTAGAACTGAACTAGAACTGAACTAGAACTGAACTAGAACTGAACTAGAACTGAACTAGAACTGAACTAGAACTGAACTAGAACTGAACTAGAAATGAACTAGAACTGAACCAGAACTGAACCAGAACTGAACTAGAACTGAACTAGAACTGAACTAGAACTGAACCAGAACTGAACTAGAACTGAACTAGAACTGAACTAGAACTGAACTAGAACTGAACTAGAACTGAACTAGAACTGAACTAGAACTGAACTAGAACTGAACTAGAACTGAACTAGAACTGAACTAGAACTGAACTAGAACTGAACTAGAACTGAACTAGAACTAGAACTGAACTGAACTGAACTAGAACTGAACTAGAACTGAACTAGAACTGAACTAGAACTGAACTAGAACTGAACTAGAACTGAACTAGAACTGAACTAGAACTGAACTAGAACTGAACTAGAACTGAACTAGAACTGAACTAGAACTGAACTTGAACTGAACTTGAACTGAACTAGAACTGAACTAGAACTGAACTAGAACTGAACTAGAACTGAACTAGAACTGAACTAGAACTGAACTAGAACTGAACTAGAACTGAACTAGAACTGAACTAGAACTGAACTAGAGAACTAGAACTGAACTGAACTGAACTAGAACTGAACTAGAACTGAACTAGAACTGAACTAGAACTGAACTAGAACTGAACTAGAACTGAACTAGAACTGAACCAGAACTGAACCAGAACTGAACTAGAACTGAACTAGAACTGAACTAGAACTGAGCTGAACTATAATTTACTCTATTGTCTGGTCTAGTCTATAGACTAGCCCATAGTGTTGTCTATAGTGTAGTCAATAGTCTAGTCTACAGATTAGTCTTGTAAATAGTCTAATCTATACTTTAGTCAATAGTCTAATTTATAGACTATTCTTTATTCAAGTCTAAAGTTTCGTTTTTGGTCATTATATTTCCTTATCAAATAAATCTAGTTCCACTGTACCTATGCATGATTTCCGCTTATAAATATTTTGTTTTTTTTTTATGCTGTCTCCACTATTCAAAAACCGCCTGACTGGGTCTTTAACATCATCTATCAAATAAAAACAATACATCTCACTAAATATTGTGCAAATTACAAATGTCTTACTTGTTTAAGTAAAAAAAAAATTAAAACAAATAAAATATTTTACATCACAGACTTGATTTAAGGTAAATAGGTGTAAAATGTTGTTGCTATTGTTGATGTTTGTAAACTTACATATAATTTTCAATAGGTTATTGAATATACATATTTTTTGTGTCATTATTTAAAACGTGCTGTAAGTTATAACAATAACTTAGAAAAAAATTTTTAAGTTAAGTATAATTGCAATTCAAGTTTAATTTGAATGCTACTTGGGAGGGCAGAAGCTGGAACTAAATAGAATAGAATAATAAAATATTTATTTAAATCTATCGTAAACAATTCAAACTTAAACACGCAATTAAAACACAAAGAAATTTGTAGTTTATAATTGAGTGAAAAATCAATGTTGAATAATTTCAAGAATAAAATTTAAAATAAATAATTTAAGTTAACAATTTTAATGAGAATTTCTGTTTATTAATGTTTGGGAAATAGTGAGTTTTAAATAAAACCGTTATTACCAACTTATCTAATTTTTTAAACAACCCTGTTTATTTTTGGTTATGATTACTAAACACAACTTTCCACTCTTGCTCTCTCTCTCAAGCACATGTTTATGTGTTGACATTTCTTGTTCTAGCAAAACAATAACAAAAAGTAAACATTTAACAACAAGTGCTACATTTCACCAGAATTTTCTTAAAAATTAAGAAAATTTCCTATAATTTAAAGATTTTTATATAAAAAATTAACGAAAAAATGTTAAGTGAAGAAGAGGTAGCTAAAAAAGAATGGACCGAACAGGAACGTTTAGAATTAGCGGCGAAATTAGATGCCGATTTGGATGCTTTCATAGATGGTTTGGAAAAGAAACGCTATGAAGAGGGCTGGCCCGAGGATCGTTGGCAAGAGGTAAATTTCTGCTAAATATACAATAAACTAATAATTGTAATGAGTTTTTTGTTTGCAAAGGAAATGGATAAACATCCCTTCTTTATGAAAAAAGCTCCCCAGCCGGGTGATGAGGTACATCCCATGTTTGAGGGTCTGCAAAAGCTTAAATATGATCCGGAAGAGAATACTGCTGAAGATTTAGCTTTGAATTATAAAGAAGATGGTAATTTCTATATGAAACATAAAAAGTTTCGCATGGCCATTTATAGTTTCACAGAGGGTCTTAAGGCGAAATGTGAAAAGCCCGAGGTACAAGCTGTTTTGTATAATAATAGATCAGCAGCTCATTTCTTTTTAAAGAATTATAGGTATAAAGCTTTAATAAACCCAGTAACAGCAAATTTCTTACTAATTCTCTTCCTTTTTAAGATCCGCCTTAGCTGATGCCCAAAAGGCCTTAGAATACAAACCCGACTACACTAAAGCACGCTGGCGTGCTGCACAATGTGCTTTTGAGCTGGAACGTTTTGACGTGTGCTCTCAAATATGTGATGAAATTTTGGAATTAGATGCTGATGATAAAAATGCTCAGGAGTTATTGAAAAAGAATAAATTGCGCAAATTGGAAAAGGAACGCAATGAACGTAAGGAGGCTGCAGAGAAAAAGAAAAAAGCTCAACGTTATCATCGTTTGTGTAATGCTCTTGAAGAGCGTCAAGTTAAATTCGATGATCAAAGGCCGGGCAAGCTGGTTATAACGGAAGAATTATTAAAACCTAAATTTCTACCTTTAGAAGATTATCCCGTTCACTTGGACGAGGATAATAAGACCTTAGTATGGCCAGCGGCATTTTCTTATCCAGAATTTTTATACAGTGATTTCCAGCAACAATTGTCGGAGGAGGCAACGTAAGTAGACAGTCCATTTTTATGCTGCAACACATTCTTTAAACTAGTTCTAATATTTTGTATGAAAAACTGTTATCTATCATCTAGATAAATCTAATATTTTTTTATATCTTTTTTTAAAATTTTCTAGAATGGCCGATGTTGTAGATTCCCTATTTTCTGAACCCTTACCTTTGGATAAAACTAATAGCTATCGTCCTGACTCCGTCAATGTTTATTATGAAAATCGTAAAGTGGGTTGTGTCCATAAGGTGGATTTGAATAAAACTATTAAGGAAATTATACAAGAAAAGGGGTAAAATAAAAAACTTATTGTTTTATTTAGAAACTCTATTAATTTCCGTTCTATTTTAGTTTCTTTGTTACTGGCGGCTCTTTACTGTTCTATATTGTACCCAAAAATTCCCGAGTGGAACAGGAATTTATACACGCGGAAAGAAGATGTTTTCTTAAATAGAAAAATTAACTAACAAAATATTTTTAGATTTCCAGACAAATTTATATAAATTTTAGGAATAAATTTTATAAATACTAAGTCAATTCTTTAACTTTTAGTTAATAACATTCTAATGGAAGGCTAACACTTTCTAAAGGAAGCCAATAACTTTCAAAAGGAAGCCTTAAACTTTTTGCAGAATGTTTATTTTTAAATATTTCAAGGTATTTGAAAATCATATATGATTTATATATTTGTATGTTTAACCAATATTTTTTCCATTTTAGTTTGGATGCAATCATATTATGCAATGTTGCTTGCAGTGGTGCAGTAATATATAATCCAAATACAATTTCTCAATTACAATCTCTTATTGTTCTTAATAAATACATTTTTATAACACGATCTCAAAAATTTTCTACGATAAGCTACAGATATATCAAAACAAAAGTTTTTATCTCAGAAATTAGCCCGTCTGCCGGTTCAACGTACCGGAATGACAGGAATTATTTGTCCAAGGGCTGTCAACTTTAACAACAACTATACAACCTCAGAAAATGTAGAAATGTTACAAAAAATTTCTAATGGAAACAAACAACTTATAAAGTGGTTAAAAATAGGTATTTGAAAAAACCATTTAGTAAATTGCATTTCTATCATTTATATTGTGATTTTCATTTTAGATTTAAAGAGTCTCCTTGTAAGCTGATGTAACCAATGGTCCAGTATTTAAAAATCTACAAATTTTACAATAGCAATCTCTTATTGTTCTTAATAAATGTGAAGTATAAATAAAAACCCCAACAATTTCTCAAAGGAGCTGTTATTCCGAGGTCATACTCGCCAAATATTTACTGATCTGTCACATCTATATCAAATGGATGTTTTATTTTCCCCAGGGAACAATTTTCGCCAATAGAATTATATTCAGGACTAGATATTTTCAACTCAAAAAGTTAACACACACATGTTTTGTTACCAAAAAGAAGCATTTCTTTATTCAATACAAAGTTTATATTTAATTTAAGTATATGTATGTATAAAATGTTTATATATATTTAATATTATTATTACAACAATTAAGCAAAAGTCGCATTTATAAGTATATTCCATAATTAAAAAGCTTCAAAATAGTTATTTCTTTTTTAAAAAACTATAATTTATGCTAATAGTTTTTTGTTTTGTTATTTCAATAAAAGCATTATTAATATGAGTACTTTTTTCTCAAATTGGTGGTAATCATTATTGTTTACGAGCATTAATTTTTTTTATAAGTCTTGTTGGTTAAGTTAATATATTTTTAAATAATACTGTTTTTATTAGCTTTAATAGAGTATTAGCTTTTAGTTATTAAAAAATATTTTTATAAATTAAATAATTTTGATATGTTTAGTTTAAAGTATTTAAAAAGCCTTAAAATTTTGTAGGTTTTTATAGAAATTTAGAATTTAGCAACATAACATTTAAAATAGTTTAACAAGCATTTATTTTAAAATTCAACAACTAATTAATTTTTAAATTTAGTAAGTTTTTTAACTAAAATTCCAAAAGGATTTTTCTAAAACTCGTTATGTATAATGTTTTAAGATTTAAATTAAAATATTTAAAATAATTGAGCTTTAGTTTCTTTATTTTGTAATATACTTTAATATTCAGGAGTAATTTTTGAACAACCAAATTTATTATAAATCATTTGAACTTAATATGTTTTTAGGCGCTTTAGCAATAAATTTATTTAGATTTGTATATTAGTAACACTTTGTAGAAGATTTAGTCAGATTTTTTTATTTTTTCTAATTATTTGTTTTATTTTTTTTTAATTTATACCAAAAGCAATTATTTAAGCCATTAGAGATATGTTTTATAAAGTAATTCTTTTTATTTTTTAATATTTATTAAAATAATTGACCTAAAACTTAGTTATTTGTTAGAAAAAAAAAAAAAAATAAGCAACAAAAATTTGAAAATTTTTAACAAAAGTTTATTTTAAATAAAAACGTTACTAAAATAAATATAAATTACAATGAACTAAATAGAAATATTTTACATTTAAAGGAAATTAAAAAAATTATAAAAATTAAAGCGTAGATTTTTTTAAGAACACTTTTTTAAAATAGTTTTTGATGAAAGCATTTTAAACGAATTCTTTTTTAAGACAAATTATTACATTTAAGTTTTACAAATTAAACATTTTATTTAATAAAATTTCATATCAAAATTTTGTACTTAAAGCGAGTGTTTTTTTACAAATAAATTAAAAGACAAAGCTTACGAAATGCTTGTAATTTAGTTAATAATAAAAACAAATTAAATTTATATTAAAGCTATTTTAACACAAAAAAATTAATTTTAGCTAGCAACATAAAAATAAAACAATTAACAAAATTAAATTTCCAAACTTTGAACACTTTTCATAAATAGCATGTTAAAGTGTTTTAAAAATCTGGTGTTTGATTTCTTTGTAAAACATTATTGATTTTTAACTTTAAAGGAGAGAAATCGATTTTCTTAAATCTAGGCAAAGAAGCGAATTTTTTTGAGCCCATGGCCGCATTGGCGGCAGCTAAGTCATTACTGCTTACCGGCGATTCCAATTTAGTGGATTGTGTCATTAGATTTTTCTTATTCGTGCCTTGATTGAGCTGTAAATGCTGCTGCAATTGCTGCTTAATACGCATTGATTGTTTGGGTGCCAAGGTGGCATATTTATGCAACAATCTAGTGGCATCTTTTGAGGCCTGATAGCAATGTTCATATTCCAATTCAGCCCGTTCCAATTTGGCTATACCACTTTCTGCTGGCGGTGTTTTTAGATAACTTTTAGTAGTTGAGTTTTCTATATTAGTGGAGCTGCTGGAAGAGGATGTATCATCGAATTTAAAATCTATATTTTGTAATAAAGCTAATTGTAAAAGTTCATTGTGTAGCTTTTCTTTAAGCTGGGCGGTTTCAGTTATTTCTTTATAGGACATATTTTCACTGATATTATTGTTATTATGTGAATTGTTATTGTTTAGTTGCAATGACTTTTTATTGCTTAAGTTTACCGTATAAACATTTTCAGAGATTTTTTGCGCATTAGCGGATTTTTTCGTTTTTGTAGAGCCTAAGGCAGGAGAACTAGTAGTTGTAGTGGATTTCTTGCGTTGTTCTAGGATTTTTTGTGGTGATGATATGTATAGGTTTTCCTTGCGTTCACGCTTCATTTTGATATTGACCAAATGTTTAATACCCATTGTGGTGACGTTCGAGGAAGATTTCTGCGAAAATGGCAAGAATGAAGATGGAAATAGGGAAACATAGGTTAGAGTAAAATATTTGGTTATCAAATAAAATCAATAGGAAAACACTATGTCGCCAATATTTAATTTCAAAACTGTTTTATTATATTTTTTAACTTAATGTGAAAACACATCGTTTTCACTTAAAAAATAAATTTTCACAAAATCACGAAAATTTTCACTAAAATTTCGAAAATTTTAAATTTTCACTAAAATTTTATATTATACGAAAAACTTATTTTCATTAAAACTTTAATAACACATCGAGTTTTCACATTAAAATTAAATTTCGAAAAATTTTACTAAAATTTCGAAAAACTTCACTAATATTTCGTAATTTTTTAAATATTTACTCAAATTTTAAATTCAAATTTTTTAATAACTTTTTCATTCAAATTTGAAAATATTTTAAAAATTTTAAATTTTCCATAATTTTTAAATCACTTTCACTTAAATATGAAATTTTTACAAAAATTGGATATTTTTACTGAAATTTAAAATTATACTAAAACTTAAAATCTTAAAATTTGCACTAAAATTTGAAATTTTCACTAAAGTTTGAAATTTTCATTAATATTTAAAATTTTTACTAAAATTTGAAATTTCCACTAAAATTTGAAATTTCCACTAAAATTTGAAATTTTCACCAAAAATTTGATATTTTACTTAAATTTTAAATTATCACTAAAATATAATTTTCACTAAAATTTAAATTTTCACCAAAATTTGAATTTTTCACTACAATTCGAAATTTTCACTAGACTATGGACTACAGCTAATACTATCGATCTAGCTAGCGAGGATCTATCATCGATCTATCGATCACGAGGAGGAGCTAGGAGCGAGCGAGCGAGCGATCTACCGAGCGAGAGCTAGCTATCGAGCTAGCGAGCGATCGATCTAGCGAGCGGATCTAGCGACTATCTAGCATGACGATATCTATCTACTAATCTTCATCTACTATCTAATATCATCTATACTATCTATCTATCTAATCTAGATATCGATCTATCTATCTATCTATCCATCTATCATTTCTATCTATCTACTTCTAATCTATCAATCTACATCTATCTATCTATCTATCTATCTATCTATCTATCTATCTATCTATCTATCTATCTATCTATCTATCTATCTATCTATCTATCTATCTATCTATCTATCTATCTATCTATCTATCTATCTATCTATCTATCTATCTATCTATCTATCTATCTATCTATCTATCTATCTATCTATCTATCTATCTATCTATCTATCTATCTATCTCTATCTATCTATCTATCTATCTATCTATCTATCTATCTATCTATCTATCTATCTATCTATCTATCTATCTATCTATCTATCTATCTCTATCTATCTATCTATCTATCTATCTATCTATCTATCTATCTATCTATCTATCTATCTATCTATCTATCTATCTATCTATCTATCTATCTATCTATCTATCTATCTATCTATCTATCTATCTATCTATCTATCTATCTATCTATCTATCTATCTATCTATCTATCTATCTATCTATCTATCTATCTATCTATCTATCTATCTATCTATCTATCTATCTATCTATCTATCTTTGAAGAGTTCACTTAAGGGGTGTATAAATCTCTTATAAGAAAGAAATATTTTGCCAACATAGGGACGGTAACGCGGGTTGCATTCAGCTAGTGTTTGCTACAAATTTTTACCAAAAAATTCGAGTTTTTAACAAAAATAAATTAACACAGAATGATAAAACTTAAAAAATAGTAAATTGTTTCGAAACTCACCTCCTTTTCTCCCGATTTATGGGCAGTAGTAGGCGTAGTTTGTTTAGAAGGACTATTCGAACGTCTACGCATCTTAACTGTATCACAACTATTGGGATAATACGAAGGTATCTTGTCATCAACACTTACAATAGACTTCCTAGGTGTTTGATAGAAATTTTCCTGTTCCTCCAAGGTCCCAGGAGATGGTTTATCGGCCGGTGAATCGGTGGGTGTACTAGTGCAGATATGAGCCGGTGAAGGTTGTTCCAACTCTTGGGCCGCTTTAATCGTCAAGAGATTTTCATATAAATTACCCGTAAAGTCACGGCTTAAGGGAGGAGTATTTTCATGATCTCTTAAAACCACCCCACTGATGTTGAGAGGAGAACCAGTTTGCATATTCTCATAAATATTGCTTAAATCCGTATCATTTACCGGTATGGGAGTTTTGCGCATAGGTACTTCATCGTAGTCACTCTCGTGGACATTTGTTTTAGCTGTTCTCTTCATTAAATGAGGCTTTTGCTGTAAGTCTTTATTCTCGGTTACCTGAGTATTAGAAGAGGTTGAAGAGCTGGTTGAAGAACAATAGGAGCCGGTAGAGTAACCCGAAGTAGTGGAAGAGGTGGTAGAGGAAGTGGTTGTTGTAGTGGTCTCTTGTCCATCAACTTTCTTATTTATTATGGGTGCCATAACGCAATAGCCCGATAGCTCATCTTCCATAATAATTTTATTACGTATGAGTTTCTGTATGGAGGGCACAGCACCACTGGCTCCTATTAGATTAATGGAGGAAGTATTGCAGGCCGAGAAATTAAAATTTTGAGGCAATTGTCCCGAAACATTTAAACTTTCCATAGAACCCGACTTGGCTTTCAAAGCCTGAAGTCTAGACATTACTAGCAAAGAAGTGGAGGCTGCTATGGCGGAATCATCTAAGCTTAAGGAGCTATAATTGTGTACAGCTCCAATTTCGCTAGAAAAGTCTTCATCTGCATGTACCTCTAAATCACTGGAGCTGTTCAACTGCAATAGGGCAGCCACTTTATCTTCATCAAAAGTATCCAAGAAATTGATTTTGGACAAGTCTGGACTAGAGAAACTATTGCGTTTGTTGGGTTTTGTACAAGGAGGAGGACGCTTTAAAATTTCATTAGCATAAATAGGATGGAACTGTTCATTACTATCACTGCTACCACCATTTATAATATCCTCCATGGTACAGGTAGGTGTCTCACTAACACTTTCGGCCCTCTTAGAACGCCCCGAACCGAATATATTGTCTAATACATTTTTATATTTTTTCTTTTTGGCCAATTCGGATTCAGGATTTGTATTAGAGCGCGGTATATCCCCCAGCAGGCCAAACGGATCTGATTCACAGGTATTGAGTCTTTTGCGATGCGCCGGTAGTGGTGGCAATGGAGGAGGACAATTTAAATGTTCCTCCATAATGGAGTGTATATTGGGCGAACAGGGTTTCATTTCTTCGTAAATGCCCGAGGCAATAGAGGTGCGTGATAGGCGACGAGATAGACGAGGTGGAAAATTTCCCTCAAATATTTCTTCGTAGATTTCAGAGGCTCGTGAAACACGTCGCGACCAGTTGATGCTATTGTTGGCATCTGGAATTTGTGGCAAGGGACCCAAGGCCGAAAGGGCATCCTTGACGGCACTGAATAAAGAAGAACAAGACATAAAAAGTACAAAATTAAAAAAGTACAAATTAAAAATTTATATTTTCAAAAATTTTTTACTAAAAATGGAAATTTTCTCTGAATTTTTATTAAAAATTTAAAACTTTTATTAAAAATTTAAAACTTTTATTAAAAATTCAAAATTTTACTAAAATTATAAAAAATTTTACTTAAGATGCAATATTTTATTAAAAATTCGATTTCAAGTAATTTTTTATCTTCCGATACTGGCCCTTTATGAGACCAGTTGTTTATCCTTAAAACACCTTTCCAGAACCATAAAAATCCTATTACACTCACCTCAACTCTCTCTGTTTATCCTCCAGCTTCGCCTGCTCACCAAACAAACCCGAACCACGACTATTTCTACGCTGCTCCAAAAACACCTGCCGATAAAGTTCCAAATTCTTAATCGATTTCTTAATCCATTTCATATGTTTGCGACAAGCCATTTCCGTATCCAAAGCGAAATAAATAAAACAATCACGACGATTGTGTGTCCAAAATAAACCATACGAATATTGCTTAGTGCGCGAGGTGGCCAAACTAATGGTCACACCCGGAACATTAATGGAAACACTTAGCTGAGACGACTCCTCCTCCTGTGGATTCTGGGGCAAGGAGTGAAAGTTTATGCGCAAAAAGCAGGGTAAACATTTAATAGCTTCAATTTTCACTTGACATTTTGTCCACGTTTTAAATTTTAAAGAATCTGGGCGTTTATCATAAATGTCCAGCTTAACATCCAGGCACATAGAAATTTCATTGAATTCCATGTTTATTTTGTGGTAAATTTAATATAATTGCTTAATTTTAATAAAATTTTATTATAAATTTGAGTTTTTTCTTATAAATTTAACATTTCTTTTGTAAAAAACTGAACTATTTGTTAAAAAAAAACTTATTGGTTTGGACTCAGTAAAATTGCTGAAAATGTAGTGATGCATTTTGAAAAAAGTTGTGTGTACAACAACAATGTCAAAGGATTTTTCATATTCCTTGACACTCTGAGAGAGTAACAGTATTACCAGATGAATAAAAACGCCTAAAAGGTAGGGTTCTATAAATCGACATTAAAATAATCGAAGAATCGACTTTTTCTAGGATAGATTCAAAGTTGACTTCTTTGCCCTAACAAAGTAAATAGTCGACTATATTGTAAGAAACGGTTATACAAATAAAAGAGTCGGGAAAAGTCCAAAAGTCGAAAAATTCAAATTTACTTTTAGTTTCAACCTTAGAACCCTAACAAAAGGCAACAGGTTACAAAATCATACCAAACACTTCCTAAAAACAACTGTTTTTTATGTAGTGCTGCTAACTATAACTTAACAAAAGCACCACATGAGTTTAACCGTACAGAATGAAGGAACATACAAAAAATATATATTTTAATAGTTAAACTCTGTTTTATTTTAATTATCTTTATTAATATTGTTATCTGTTGCAATTTGGTTGTACACATGAAGTAAATAGTGCCCACTGTTTGTATTTGTGTTTTACCACTGTTCGTTTTGGTTATAAAAATGCGAAAAAGCGCTAAGTAGGCATTAAGCTTCTATTGTTTTTTTTTTAGTTTTGGCGGGTTAAATTTGTGCAAAATTAAGTTTTTAGTGAGTTTATTATATTTGTGTTAGAAATTTGTTTAAAAATGGAAGATGCTCCTATGGAGGTGGAGGACCATGACTATTTGTAAGTAAAGAGTATGAAATATTAAAGAAAAGCTAAATTTCTTAAAAATTACATGAAATTTTCCTTGCCAGATATGTGCGCACTCTGGATGATGTTAAAGGCATCATTAAACATGCCAAATTGGATGAACGTAATCTAACCCAGGTGACGCAGGTAAGTTTTTCTATAAAACTCCATATTTGAGTATGCCTATAGAGTAATTATCCAGTAGGCCCTTTACTATCCCTCGGCCGATATAGTTAGTGATAATTTGAAACTCCTGGAACTAGATGACCATATGTTGGGTCAAATACGCGATGGCCAAGTTTTGTACTTTAAAGGTGGCCTTAATGAAAAAGTGGTCTTATGTACAGATGAGAAAACTTACGATGTCAAGACTGCGGAAATCTCCAATAGTTTGTTACTAGTGCCGGATTTAAAATTTGGTGCCGCCACCAGCACTTCGCCCTTAAAGAGTCCGCGTACGGCTAATAACACTTCGCTGGAAAGAAGTCTAAATGAAAGTGCCGACGATGATTTGGAAATAGAACGCAAACTGGAGCAGCGCAAAATTTTGAAAATTTTCCATGAATATTTTGAATGTCGTGAGATTAAACCGAGATTTCGTAAAATGGGTGATTTACTGCAATTGACCCGTTACTCAGGGCCCGAAAATGAAGAATGTATAGACCGCAAATTGTTATTTTCCTTTGAGCAATTGCTGGACACAGTGCAATGCAGTCGTAAAGAATTTATCGAAGGTTTAAGATTATACCGTGCCATCGAGTATGAAGGTTGGATGCGTGTTTTAGAGTGTGAATATGAATACCGCATAGTTAACCTAATGGTGGGTTTAATAGCCGAAAACTCTTGGCCTCTAGATGAGGTGGAGAGAGAAGAAACTATTACAGCTTTAGATGGCATAGCGCCCAAGCAAATAGTGGAAGGTTTATTTGATTTATATACCACAGAATCAAAAGGTAAAGATAATCGTTTTACCTATAACGAGGAGCTAGTGGCGCGTATAGTGGCTCAAAATATCCTACAGCCTGGTTTAAAATTTAGAGTAGATGAGTTTCTAAGTACCTGGCAGGAAGCTTTACCCGAGGGCATGAAATGTGAGGTACCTATATAAACTTTAATATTAAATAACGTTTTCACTAGAAAGAGATTTCCAATTTGCAGGAAAAATATCTAAAAGGTTTGGGTATTTTTGATAAAGAAGGCGGCACTCCCTGTGTAAGATCTTTAGCGGAGGAGAATCTACCTTTAAATATCCATGATCGCATGCGTTTGTTGTTTAAAACTAAAGCTAAATGGACCTTAGATGAAATTGAACCATATATAGAGTAAGTTTTTAATACTATTGTTTAAAGTCTATATATTTATTTTTCTATATTCCTTCAGATGCTTCACTACTCCTGTTTTATCGGTTTCCTCTTTAATGGCCAAACAGGCTAGATCTTTAATGGAGAATGGTGTACGTTATTATGTAGCTAAACATTAAGGTAATTTTTGTGGTTTATTCAATTTTATATAAAATTTATACATTTCTAAAATTATGAACTTTTCCTTTTTTTATTGCGCATTTTCTTGGCTTGCTTCAAATCTTCAATGGCATCTTTCATAACCTTAACGGCACTTTGTGCTTCATCAATATTTTCTCCCGACATGTCCGTCAATTGGGCATTAACAGAGGGGTATCTATTAAAAGAAAGACATTTAAAAACTCTAAACAAAATTTCTGCCACAAACTTGAACTTACTTGAAACTAAAGCCTCTGGGGAAGATTGGTCTGGATAGCAAAGACTTCAATTCCGCTCTAACAGCATCCAATTGTACGCGATTACGTCTTTTTTCTATGATAAAAGGATCCTCATCCTGATCACTGCCCCTGCAACAACAAAAACAACAACATTTATAAAATAAAAAGAATCAAAAAGAAAAAATTCTGTCTAAAACCCACTCATCATCATTGAAACCCTCTATCACCATATCCATTTCCTCGGCATGTTTTTTCATCCAACCTAATTCTGTTTGGGTACGTTTTAGTTTTAATTCTTGTTTATCTACCTCACGTGCTAAATTTACACGTTCCTTTACAGCATTTAAATAACGTTCCGATACTGGGAATAAAGGTAAATCTTCAGCTGCAATAAATCAAGATAATAAGCAAGTTAATAACAAAAGGTATGTTTAAAATTTCTTAAGTTTCATACTTCTCTCTAAAGTTTTATACAATTTGATGTACATTTTAACCTCTCCCGGTTCCATAAACATTACGGTAATACCATTTTTATTAGCTCTAGCCGTACGTCCCGATCTATGGACATAATTTTCACTAGTACGTGGTACCTTTAATAAATTTAAATTTGAAAAAATCGCTTCTACATTATTTTTTGTTTGTTTCTTTTACCTGATAATGTATAACATGCTCTACATTGGGTATATCTAAACCTCTGGCTGCCACATCGGTGGCTATTAGCAGACCACAAACATCATCTCTAAATCTTTCTAAATTCTTAAGACGTTGTTTTTGTATCATATTGGCATGTAAAGGTAGAGGATTACATTGCAATAAACCAAATAAAGTAGACAATCTTTTAACACAGTCTATGGAATTGCAAAAAACTATAGTTCTACCAGGATGACGTTGTACAAAATAATACAAATAATAGTCCTTATGTTCCAAGGGACATATAAGACGACATTCCGTTAAAGTTTGAGCGGTTTCTAAAATAATATTGTTAGCTTTTTATGATCTTTTTAAAAATGTTTATAAAACTTACGTTGAGAACTGGTGATATCCACAATTTTAGGCTGCGATATGCCCAATTCTTCTATGAAACTTTGTATCTTCATTTCTGAGGTTTGTTTAACAAATTTAGGTCTTTTGCCATAATTGCGTCCTTTAGTCAGTGGAAACAAGTTAATAATTAATTTTCTTTTTTTAATTAAATTAAATATACTTACTTTGCATATGTTCCGGTAAATCGTGCACCAAAGTCAAGGTAGCCGAAAAGATAAAGTTTTGTCTGGATTGTTTCTTTTCCTCATTTTCATTAATGACTCTCAGCAAAGTTCTTAACTCTTCAAAATGGCCCTTTTCCACCATACGATCTGTTTCATCGATGGCCAAGAAACTAATATCTTCGATTTTACTTAAATGTTTATTACCCTGTTGATACAATTCCCACAAACGCCCCGGGGTAGCCACTACAATTTCTGGATGTTGGTTTAACACACGTTCCTGTTTAGCCAAGGATAAACCTCCAAATATGGCTGCCACTTTAATGCCTGTATATTTGGCAGCTGCCACTAAATGGTCTTTAACTTGTACGGCCAATTCTCTAGTGGGAGTTAATACTAAGGCGTATAAAGCTCCACCTTCTTCTTTAGTGGTCTCTTCTTCATCAGTATCATTAAATTCAGGCATATTTTCTACCTCCATATTTTGCTCTTCTTCCAATTCTTCTTCATTAAGTTCTTTGGCAGCAGCAGCAGCAGCTTTCTTATTTTTTGCTTTACCCATAGGTTTTCTTATGCCAGTTCGGGCATTTTTTCTTTTCAATTCCATGATACCCGTCAACATGGGTATGCCAAAGGCTAAAGTTTTACCACTACCCGTCTCAGCAGCTCCCAAAATATCTTTTTTACCCAAAATAGCGGCAGCCAAGGTACGAGATTGAATTTCAGTGGGGGACTTAAAACCCTTTTCGGCTAAGGCCTGCAGTATATTTTGAGGAACACCTAAACCATTCCAGCCCTAAAATTGGAAAAGGAAATTCCATCAAACGTTTCTTTTAAGATAATTTTAAACCTCAAACCTCTAAATCATCTACACTGATAGCTTTGCTATCCACTAGCTCAGGAGCAGCATCCTCCTCCTCTTCCTCACTATCTTGTGGCTTTAAATCCTCTTCTTCATCCTCTGCAGGAGGAGGTCTTAGCAGCTTGAAACGGTCTTCTGCTTGTTTATCTTTTTTGTTAGTTTTATCTTTAGCTTTTTGGGATTTTTTATCCACATTTTTGTTTTCCTCTTTATTTTTGGGTTGTTTTTTATTTTCTTTACGTTTGAGCTTACGTTGCTCTCTTTTTTCTCGTCTTTTTTCCAATTTCTTACTTAAATAATCCTCCTTTTTGGCCTTTTTCCGGGCAGCTTTATCATTATCTTCATTGTCACTCTCATCGGAACTTTCTTCCTCACTATCCTCATCATCTGAGGCTACTTCCTTTTTAGCTTTTTTAGATCCCTTCTTACGTTCCATACGTTTCTCTTTGCGTGATAATTTGGGCTAGAAATAGCAAAAATTAAATACAAATTTTCAAATATTTCTTGTGTTTTACTCACCTTGGCTGTTCCTATTAGATTATTATCATAATCCTCTAAAACTTCCAAACCTATAAGACCCTCCAAACCCACACCGTCTTCAGTTATAACACTGCCTTTGATTTTTACCTTTTCCCATTTCTTTTCTGCAGCTTTTGCTGCCTCCTTTTTAACTTTAACACTGGGTGGTTTTATTTTAGAACTTTTTTGTTTATTTTGTACCATTTTGTTTAATTTATTTTAATAATTTTATTTAAATTTTTTAAAACTATGTTCCGGCACGTGTTTTCTTTGAATGAATGATTGAAAAATGATTGTTTTGTTATGAATTCTCTTTTGTTGTTTTCTTCTTAGGGAAGAGAGAAAAGAGAGTAAAATGGAGAGAGCCAAATATTACAGAGTTGTATTAATTTAAACAGTGTTGCATTTTGATAATAATCATTGATTTTTTAAGATTTGACAGTTATTTGTTTAAACAAAATACGTTATTTTTATGTTTGGCGACAATTTTGAGAAGAATTCGATAAAAATTATCCAATTAATTTCTTAACTTCATGTTTTAGTGAAAATTAGAAATTTTCAATTGTTAGTGAAAATAGGAAATTTTTAGTGAAATTCTGAATTTTATTAAACATTCATATTTCATATTTTAGTGAAATTTTAAAACTTAGTAAAATTTTAAAATCGAGTGAAATTTTTAGAAAAATTATTATGTTGATGTATTCTGAAAATTTTGATTTTTTAATAAAAAGTTCGACTTTTATTAAAAATAACTTTTTTGGAAATTTAGGGGTTTAGTAGCAAAAGCCATTTTTGGGGAAAACTTAACTGAAATCTAGGGCCGTCCATTAATAGATCTATTTTCTATTTGCTCCAACTTTATCAAAACAGCAGGATCTTCATTTCCGAGGGATCCTAGTCGCCCGCCATCAATTAAAAGATTCAAAACTTTTATTCAGTTTTTAAATTTAGTTTTATCTTTATTATTTTGTCTTTGTTGTTGATTCGTTTCTGAATTCGTCTTTAAACATTCACAATCAAATAATTCCAATATCCAGTTTTCTTTTTCTTTAAATACAACTATTAAATTACACTAATTTTGGGTGTGCTGCTCTAGAAATGTTAAAGCAATTTTACTTGGCATCACCAGTAATGCCCAACTTCTTTTTCAAGGATTCAGGCATTTCTGGTGGTGGTGGGCGGGGCATACGCAAATATACTTTAACAGCATCATAGATGAACCATTGGGCGGCAGTCAAGGTACCAATCATAACAATTCTGGGCACTAAACCACCCCATAAGCCTTAAAATAGAAAAGGAATTTTCAATATTTATTACTTTCTTAAGAAAACTGGATTTTAAACTTACCAGCCCAGCCCAATTGTTTGGCTACATCAAAGGCCGAGGCACCCTTGGCTTGATTCAATTTAGATACAACGGTATCAGCTGGATGTGAGACAATGGCACAGAAAACACCAGCAATATAACCAGCTGCAAAGGTGGTCAACAATTGTTCACCTTTGGTGCATTCAGCACGTGGCTTGGGTACAACATATCTTAGAAATGAGTTAAAAATTAGTATAGGTTTTCTATTAGTAAGGTTTAAACACTTACTGGTATAACAATTCCAAAGTTCTTTCAAAACAAGCAAACTTCATCATGGTATAGGGAATTTGACGCATCCACAAAGGAACCAAACCCTTATAGAAGGCGCCAATACCTTCTTGAGCCGACATTTTAGGTAAAGCTTCTCTCAAGGTATTAGCAAAGCCGGGTGTAGTTTGAATCTTAACCTTAGCTGCCTCCATGGGAGCCAAAGCAATATCAGCAAAGAATTCAGCCGAGGCAGAGGCGGCCAAATATAAACCAGTTCTGTATAGATAGGAATTCTCTTCACCGATGGCATTTGAGTAAATAACTTTGAATACTTCATAAAGACCGAATTTGCATAGACCTTGCATGGAATAGCCGATAAAGGTGGGAGCCCAACCCTTGGACAAACCTGTAACACCATCTTCTTTTAACGTAACACGGAAGCCATTTACTACACTCTTGTATTTGGCAGGATCGACTTGAAGACGACATTTAACTAAATCCAAAGGGACTACCATGGTATGGGTACTACCACAGGAGATGATACCACCCAAACCACATAAAGCGAAATACATATTGGAACCAAATTCACAGGAATCTAGGAATAATAAATTAATTTTTTTAATTATCAAGGATTATAGACAAATATATACCTCCTGTGGAAGCTGCAGCAGCTTGGATTTCATGGTGTGGTGTTAGTTTACCATTTTCCACAGCTGGTTCACAGCTGACTGTGGTAAAAGGCTTTTTGAAAGGAGAATTCTGGGCAGCCTCTATTAAAGAAGAGAACAACATCTTGTTGGGCTAGCTGAAATATAATAAAAAGAAAAAATAATTCAATTGGGAAAAATCGAGTCAGATATTTCCTAATACTAAGCAAACAATTTTTGTTTTCAATAATTTAAACAATTCAATTTGAATCTCAATAATCAAACGCTGCTAAAAGATCAAGTTCAAGTTCTATACCAACAATTACGTCAATATTACCACAATCAATCTTTTTAGGCCTATTAGGCACACAATGCATTCAATAAAATTTAGAATTTTTTGAGGTTATGTTATATTGTAATTTGCCAAAAATGATGTAACTTTTATCTCAATGCAATTTTTCACTGAAGGTCATTAACACTTTACAAATACTATGTTGCATTTAAAGATCAAACAATTACGACACTCAAAACGATTTATTTCTAATGCAATTATTCAATATTTTTTGTTTTGTTTTTAATTGAAAAGCAAACTGTTACTTTTTTTTAAATTAAATGACAAGTTTTATAAAATTTTCAGGCTTTGCCAGATTTTTCTTATTTTTAAATATTTTATTTTTATTTTTTTCCTTAAACGTGCCGTTTTTTTCATAATACCAAAAAAAGATCTTGTGATCAAATACTTGATATTTTGACAATTTTTATTGTCAATAATAATGAATGGCGTTGCATTTTTTTCCTTATATATTACATAACACTAGTATTATTAAATATTTTTTTAAACATATATTTTTCATTTTTAAACCCTTAAATTTTTGCAAATTTTATTATTTATTTTCAAAACTTTATTTTTTTTAACTTAAACTCACTTTTTTTACAATAAATTATTTAATTTATTTAAATAAAATTCTAACGAAATTTAACTTAATTAAGTATAAATTTCGTTTTTTTTAATTATTTATTTTATTAGCGTATGTTACGCTTTCCTTAAACACCCAACAACTGAAATGATTTGAAATTCTTTTATTTTAAATTCTAATGAGAATTTTTTTTTTTTTTTTTTAATTGTAAATTTTGTAATTGTTAAAGAGAAATTTGCAATTTCCTCTAAATTTTTCTGCAATCTCTGAGTGCAATGCATTGAAGATTATGCGTGAGTTTTATGTAATTTTAAAAATAAATACTCATTAACATCGTCAAGACTACGACTGACGATGAAGGCCAATTTGAATTTATTAGAGAAAAGAGATTTTCAAAAGGTAGTAAAGAGACTTTTTGTAAAGAAATACACCATTTCTAGAGAAAGTTTAAGGTATAACCGGCCATTCCGGTGCAAAGAACTGATTGTCGTGGGAATGCTGATCTGATCTATAGTGTAGCCTGGTCTATAGCCTGGAAAATTTTCTAGACTATATTTTGAACTATATTTTAGTCTAATAGGTTCTAGTACAGTTCAGTTCTAGTTCAGTTCAAGTTCAGTTCTAGTTCAGTTCTAGTTCAGTTCTAGTTCAGTTCTAGTTCAGTTCTAGTTCAGTTCTAGTTCAGTTCTAGTTCAGTTCTAGTTCAGTTCTAGTTCAGTTCTAGTTCAGTTCTAGTTCAGTTCTAGTTCAGTTCTAGTTCAGTTCTAGTTCAGTTCTAGTTCAGTTCTAGTTCAGTTCTAGTTCAGTTCTAATTCAGTTCTAGTTCAGTTCTAGATAAGTTCTAGTTCAGCTCTAGTTTAGTTCTATTTCAGTTCTAGTTCAGTTCTAGTTCAGTTCTAGTTCAGTTCAAGTTCAGTTCTAGTTCAGTTCTAGTTCAGCTCTAGTTCAGTTCTAGTTCTAGTTAAGTTCAGTTCTAGTTCAGTTCTAGTTCAGTTCTAGTTCAGTTCTAGTTCAGTTCTAATTCAGTTCTAATTCAGTTCTAGTTCAGTTCTAGTTCAGTTCTAGTTCAGTTCTAGTTCAGTTCTAGTTCAGTTCTAGTTCAGTTCTAGTTCAGTTCTAGTTCAGTTCTAGTTCAGTTCTAGTTCAGTTCTAGTTCAGTTCTAGTTCAGTTCTAATTCAGTTCTAGTTCAGTTCTAGATAAGTTCTAGTTCAGCTCTAGTTTAGTTCTATTTCAGTTCTAGTTCAGTTCTAGTTCAGTTCTAGTTCAGTTCTAGTTCAGTTCTAGTTCAGTTCTAGTTCAGTTCTAGTTCAGTTCTAATTCAGTTCTAGTTCAGTTCTAGTTCAGCTCTACTTTAGTTCTAGTTCAGTTCTAGTTCAGCTCTACTTTAGTTCTACTTCAGTTCTAGTTCAGTTCTAGCTCAGTCTTAGTTCAGTTCTAATTCAGTTCTAGTTCAGTTCTAGTTCAGTTCAGTTCTAGTTTAGTTCTAGTTCAGTTCTAGTACAGTTTTAGTTCAGCTTATATTTAGTTTAGATCTAGATCAATTCTAGTTCACGTCTTGTTTAGTATATAATCTATACAATAGTCACATTTATAGCCTGGACTATAGTGTAGTCTGGATTGTAGCCTAGTGTGTAGTCTGGACTATAGTCTAGTCTATAGTCTGGACTATAGTCTAGTCTATAGTCTGGACTATAGTCTCGTCTATAGTCTGGATTGTAGTCGGGACTGTAGTTTGGACTATAGTCAAGTTTATAGTCTGGATTATAATCTCGTCTATAGCCTGGACTACAGTCTGAACTATAGTTTAGTCTATAGTCTGGACTATAGTCTAGTCTATAGTTTGGCCTATAGACTACAGTCTGAACTATAATTTAGTCTATAGTCTGGACTACAGTCTAGTCTATAATTTGGCATATAGTCTAGTCTATTGCCTGGACTATAGTCTAGTCTATAGACTTTATCGCTGATATAAATTTGTTTAATTACCCAAATAAATGCAATTTAATTTTTATTTCTTTTTATAAATATTAAACATTTTTATTGTTGTTAATCTTTATTTATAATTAATTATTATAATCATAGTAGTATACAAAAGTGTAATTTAGTTTTCTTGTTTTATTTATTTTGATTTGTTTCCTTTATAAAGCATTAATACTTGGAAATAAGTACTTAAACATTTTCTTGCGTTTTTTTGTTTGATTTTTCAACGTAATTTATAAAATAAATCTATTTTGCTGCAAAATATATCTAAAAAAAATACAATAATACTCACACATAATATAAATCAAATTGAACTTAATTATAAAACTGCATTTAAATGCAATGTTCTTTTCTTTTTCTCTATTCAACGATACATCCTTTCCATAAACGTTATTTTTTATTATCTCAATAGTTAAACTATTAAAAAAATACACTTAAAATGGAAAACAGATTACTTATTTAAACTTAACTAATAAAACTTATAAACTAATATTGGCAATCAAATGAAGTGGTGGAATTATATTTTTAAATTTGTTATTCAACTCGTATATATGTTTGTATATAAAAAAATTCTTATTAATCTCCTTTAAATTATTACAAATTATGGCTATGATTCGGAAGTTTCCATGTGTCTATGTACTGTAACAGGTGCTAGTATTAGATGTGTGGCTCCTGCAACATTTGTAGCATCATCGTTGTGATGATGATGATGATGCAAAGGAATTGTTGTTTGTTCATAAACCCTACTGGGTGATTGATATTTTTTGGGTGAAGTTAAATTATAACGTGAATCCTTTGAGGGAAAACTATTATAATGTGATTGTTGTTGTTGCCTATTGGTAGGTGATGATATGGAAGTTGATATGGACATAGTATCCGATTTACTGTGTCTTTTATCGTTAAGCAAGAGTGGCTCTGCTAGTGTAAAACACTGATGATCTGAAGAATCTTCATGTGGTGTCATGGTAGAATAACCATGATCTGATTCTCCATTGGGAGGACGTCTATAACTGCTGCCTGTACTCATGTGGTAGGGTGATATATCGGCTGCATTCATAAGATTTCTTTGGGCAGCAGCATGATCATATCCACCCGCATTAGGTCCCCCGGGAGGATCATCATGTGCTTGACAATCATCGAAATTAAAACGTGATAAAGGAAGACCATAGTTTTCCTCTTGCATAGAGTCCATATAGAATTGCTCTTGCGAGGAGGTGTCAACATTTTGCCGATAACAATAGATGGCAAAACCTATAACTATGGCTAAGACTATAATGGCACCACCAACCGGACCAAACGCAGAATATGTGCTGGGCTTTTGGGAGGGATTATAGCCATGGGCGGCTAAGAGATCGGCATCATCTAAGTCGCCATAAGGTGAAAGCCCAGCTAAGACACCTAGAAAAAAGATTAAAGGAAATGTTATAAACTTTTTATATACATACATATTTATTTGTCAGTTCTTGTTCAATTCTAGTCCAGTTCTGGTTGAGTTCTAGTTCAGTTCTAGTTCAGTTTTAGTTCAGTTTTAGTTCAGTTCTAGTTCAGTTCTAGTTCAGTTCTAGTTCAGTTCAAGTTCAGTTCTAGTTCAGTTCTAGTTTAGTTTAAAAAAAAACTCACCATTAAAACATGCCGACTGGGCACTACAGAAAGCCGCAGCAAAACCATTACCATCCACATCCTGTTGACACCATTCACAACCCATTACCGCCAAACAGTCCCTCTGAGTACCAAAAACATCACAATTTATATTCACACAGGAGCCAAGTAAAACATTTTCCTGTTGTAATAAAATTTGTGGCTCAGCCACATAGGGCTCATAGGGAGGCTCACAATAATCATATTGATAAGTAATATTTAAATATGATAAATGTTCTTTGTTAGCATTATCTTCCTCCTCCTCTAGAGATTGCATTAAAGGCATGGGACATTCACAGGGACACTCACAATCTGATTGATCCATACGCTTACAATTCAAACATTGACGATCTATAGTACTGCAGGGACAGAAAGCACCACCATCACAAGTGGAATTGAGCACTGCGGCAAAGATATTGCTGCCTTTAAGTAAAGCTATGGCATATTTAGTTCTTTCACCATGCACCACATTGGTTAAGATCTCATTAAGGGAAGTGTTAAAGATATAATAACGTTGTAGAGTACGATTTTGATAGTTGGCACAGGCTAGTTTACGCACTAGATTTTTATGATTTAATATATCATTAGCCAAATAGGATTCTTTATGCGTCAAATGTTCATGAGGCCTTCTTTGATTTTTTATGGCAGATTTTGGCTCCAGCATAGAGGGATGGGCTATAAGATAACCCTCATTTTCAAATAGCAAACATTTTATATTATGCATTTGACAGAGAGGTGTGGAGTCTAGAATGATTTTATAGAAATAGGCATAGGGTAAATCTAAAGCCACTATAGCCACAGGCTGATCACGTTCTATGGAATGTAAAGCGTTGGATTTACCCTCAAATATGGTATGAGCAATGGTTATTATATAACCGGAACCAGCAGCATCTAAATAAGGTTCTGTGGTTATTATTTTGCCAGGATGTTGTATAGCCTTGCGATACCAGGGTCTTTGGGAAGGATCATAGTTGTTGTTGAGTAGACAGCCGGGAAAAACCTGCAGCACACCATTGACAGAGGCTATGTAACGGCGTATTATATAGTTTCTTAAAGAGCCTCTAGCATCCTGATGTCTTTTCTTTAAATGTTGCATGGCATTATAGAGAGCATTTACTTCTTGACGGATTTGAGGCCTAAGGCCAGGATTGGCCAGCAAACCAGTGGTATCCTTTAAATAAGCCATTATACTTTCCACGGTATGCAGTTGGGATTGTGAGGAACTCATACGATTGTTGTGCAGAAAAGTAAAAGGCGATTCAAAAGCCAAAGAGCTTAAAAATAATGTGGCTGAATCCAGGGTGGCTATTTGCCTAAAATAGCGACATAGATTGGTGGTGTCTCTGGGTGGTAATAAATCCAAACGATGATATAGTAAATCTAAACTAGTGTAATATTCCTCATAGTCCTCTGCATGATGATACATAGGAATATTGTTTTTCGAAGAAAAATGTTTTAAAGTCAAAGGCAATGCGGCTGGTAGTGGCGATAACACAGGTTTTATTTCTTTAGTTGTAGCGGGTTCCTCATATTTCCTAGTATTGACCAAACACAATATATAAATACTCAATATATTATGCCATTGATATGTCCTCAAGTATTTTTCCTGTTTACGATTTTTAGTTAAATATATTGTCGTAGATAGATTGCCATTTTCTTGTGTTAATATTTTTTGTCTGATTTCAGAAAAATCGGTGGAATTTTCTAGATATTGTATATCTACCGGAAAAGGGGTTTGATTTTGTGTAAAAGGCCTAGGAAAGGCCGGGTGGGCTAAAGTATTACCGTCAGCTTCGATTAGGAAAGCATAGGAATACTCATTTTTACTATTCATAGAGAATTGTTGTTGCTGCTGTTGATAGCTAATGATATCTTCTATCAGATCGGATAAATATAAGTCAACACCTACGACACCGAAAGGTAATACGGCGTGAGTAAGGGAGACAATAGAATCTGAAAAAAGAAAAACACTGTTATTGAAATTATTTATTAGGGGGCTGCAGTTCAGACTATAGGCCAGACTAGAACCTAAATTACAGACTATATTAAAGTTTTGTAGACGGATGATTTTTAAGCTTTAATACCTCTACTATTGGCCTCCACTATGGGTGTGTGCACCTGCCAAGTCTTCTGTATATGAGGCTCTTGAAAATCCTTAGCAAATATGGCAGTGGCCGCCTGGATTATTACATCCTGTTGAGTTTTTGTCAGCATAAACAGTTTGCCCGATAATGTATGTTCCGGTTTATACCAATCCTTGGTATCTATATCATATTTGGTATAATTTTGTGAAGAAATTTCCGTAAGAAATTGTTTTTCATACATAATGCGTTTTTCATCTGGAAAAGAAATACAAAATTTTATAAAACGATCATAAGGTTTTTAAAGAAAACTAATCGATCACGAACCGATCACTAAATGATCGAAAAGTTTTCTATAGAAAAAACATCGATTACCAAAATGATAGAAAACTCTTCTATAGAAAACATAACGATCACTAAAATGATCGATAAAAACTCATTGATCACTAAACGTACAGTTATTTATAGAAAACTAATCGATAGTGAAATGATCGAACATTTTTCTATAAAAATCATCATTGATCCTAAAATGATCGAAAAGTTTTTTTATAGAAGAAAAAGTTTTCTATAGAAAACGAACATCGATCACATAAATCCACTTCCTGCGCGTTTCTACTTACCCAATACCACTCCACAAGCATTTATTACAATAGGCTTTTGCAATGACCTTTGACCCTTGGCCATAACATTCAAAACATGTCGAGAATCCGAGAAATTTATTAACAAACCCCGAGTTATATAAACAAATTCTATGGGATTCTGAGAGCTAATCAAACTGGCATTTTGTAGACGTGAAATCATGCGAAACGAGTACTCAAAGCCCAAAGAATGATTAGTTAAAGCACGACTTAAAGTCAAGCTATTAATATAATTTAAAATTTCCTCTTTACGTTCACGGGTGGTAGCATACAAACCATTGGCAGCATCATAGGAAGAAGCCTCCAATAAAAGCATATTTTCTATTTCATCAGAAACACAAACCAAGGATAACAGATCATTGGGTGTTAGTAATTGTAAAATATTTGATATGTATGTTTTAGCCAATTCCAAAAGTTCACCACTCATGGCAGAACCCACATCCAGTAGCAGGAAGACATATTTATTTTGTATGGCTGAGGTATAGAGATAACGAAAATGTAAATCATTATAGAATTTCATATAAGAATCACTAGCATCATCACTGCGTGAAAGGAAGTAAATATGTTTTATATGATTGCCTATATATTTGGGATTATTATTTTGATATTTCTCCATATTCCAGGGAGTTTTTAAATCATTTTTGAGCAAGGATTGTTTTAAGGATTTGATTTTTTCCTTTATATAAGCATTGGCCTCCAAAGTTAATTCATTATTTTCATTGAGCAAAGTAGTATCAATATAGTTGCGTCTGGTTTGCAAAAAATCAGTCTTATCATAATTAAGTATTTGTATTTGTTGTTTATTATAACTTTCGGTGGCTGTATTATAAGTGGAAGAGTCTCTTTCATAACAAGATTGTATAAATGTATTGAGATATAAAGGTTTTATATGAGAACTTAAAGGTTTTTCTATATCATTTAATTCCATATCAAATTCTGGTTCCACCTCACTATCTTGCAATTCCTCATCCTCATCATCCTCTAAATCTTCTTCATATTCATTGGTAAATTGCATGATTTGTGTGATATTTGTTTGAAAATAATCTCTTAACTCTTGCACCACATGTAAAGCTTTTTCCAACTTTAAAGCCAAACGTTTGCTAAAATATAACAAATCTTGTTGCATTTTATTATCCACAGAATCCATTATAGGTTTGTCATTAGTTAAGGCAAGACTTCTATTAAATGCCAAGTTAGCCGATGAAGAAAAATGCATGGAATCAAA